TTTTGTGTAGCCAAATCGGCATGCCATAAGAAGTGCCGTCTCACCACTACGCGTTAGTACGTTCACCGCGTGTCGCTTATGCTCCGCTGGAAGTAATCGACTCAGATAATACAGCAGCAGATGCACACACTCCTGGTGTTTTTCAAGAAGAGCACAATGGAGCGGGGTGTACTCAACGCGATGCAGCATGGTTGCAGAAGTGCACTGTCGAGAGTTTCCGGGAGAAAAAACTCGCATCTGCTTTGCTGTTAAAAAATACTCCGGCTCATTCCCCACCATTTTCAGTGTAAATGAATTGAGGGTCTCTGAAATAGACATACGCTCAAGAAGGGCGTACAAAACCTCCGTATAGCCTAGTGTTGCGGAACCGAGTAGCGCCATGCGTCTCTGACGTTTACTTGCATCGTCCTGACTTACAAAATCTGTAAAGGGGTGTACGGCAATGCGATACGCCGCAACACGCTGGCGCTGTGTGAGTGCGATGCATAAAGGCACCAAGGAAACATCCTCTGGAATGATAGCGACTCCAATGGCACCTTTATTCGTATCGTCACTGCGACGCTTAAGAAGCACCGGAGGGAAAAATAACAGATCCTCCTTATCGGACTTTGCATTTAACAGCTGACGAACACCCGAGGCCGTGACACGCAGAGTGTGCCCCAGTGAAAGGGTCTCTCGTTCATCTTGAATGAGCTCGTGGCTATCATGGCCGCTGAGGAGCGCGCTTTCGCCGCAGGTGACAAGCCGAATAAGCGCACAGTGCATCATGTTTTCGTCAAAGAGCAGGGGTAATTTTAGGGGAAATACTCCAGGAATAAACTCACGGCACGTTTCAACCAACTCATCTGGCGTTCCCACCCGCGTTGCAGGAGAAGAATTCGGCAAAAAAGTGTTTCTCATCTCTGTTGTCACCGTTTGGCTGGCCAGCAGATGTGACTCATCAAAGACAAAACGTACAATGACCCCAGCGGAGGGTTTTACGCGCTGGAGGACCTCCGTAATTAGGTTTGAGGCCTGCAGGCTCACAGCAGGTCGGAGACCAACCGGCGATGGTAATGTCGTGAAGGCAATCCCAAGAGACTTTCCGTTGACAGTAAACGATGCACTGTGGGCACCAAAATCCACGTGGCAACCAACAACCAGGGACTGAGAATTATACACCGGCACCCCTCTCAGGACGACTGAATTACCGCCGAACGCCAAGTTCCAATGAATGGAGCTTGTTTCTTCTGAGTCTGAAGTGGAACCATTCCCTTTCTTTCTCAAAACTTCAACGGTGGGGACAATGCTTTCCTTTGCAGCATACGCTGCCGACACCATGTGGGCTTCTTCCGATGTTTCGTTAGTTTGTGCGGAGGCTGAAGCTTCGTATATTGGTGATGAGAAAGGTCCATTGGTGGGACTTGCAAATCCAACATCATTGCCTTCATTATTGTTTTCTAACAGAATCCTCAATAAGGGAAAAGGCAAATTCTCCGAGTCCTTCTCCTTGTCCTCCACCTCCTTTTTTTCTTGCGCGTCCTCATCCAAGACCTGGTAAACGGCGTTTCTTCCCCTTTCATGTTTCATGGGACGTATGATGACTTCCTCCACAACTTGGTTGACCTTGGATCGATGCAAGATATCAAAGGAAATTCCTATGGAATTGCGGTCACTTCCAAGGGGAGGATGCGTCGAACGTCCATCGGCAGCGGACGTACATTCCTCTGAGCACCACCCAACAAAAACAGTAGAAGTTTGCAGTCCTGGCATGGTTTCCGGATCCCGTTCCAAAGATGCGGAGAAGCCGTTGAAGGCGCTCGTGCTCACAGGAACACCGCTGAGTAGAAAATTCAAGGAGACATGCACCTCATAGTAGAAAGTCAGGCCGTGCGCTTTTGCTGCTGCTTCTTTCCTCTCTCGTTGCCATCTTACGTGTGGTGATACTGTGGGGTCATCGTCGGGCCATAAGTCTGCGTGCCGTGGTGGGAGTTGTATGACATGTGCATTTGCGGTAGACGTGTCTCCAACCAGAAGGAAATGCGAGTCCGTTGCCTTTAGAGGTGTGTACCCCCACCTGTCCACCCGCCGCATAAATGATGTAGTAACGGCTGGTAATACGGCACACTTGACCGACGAGATTTGAAGGCGGTCTAAACGCTTCTTCCCAAGAATGAGCGAAAAGGACACACCAGAAGCCGCAGAAGAGGAACCGACTCGCGTCGCTGCCTGCGCATCTCCGTCCTCTTCCAATTCTAACTTCGTCACGGGAGGGTTCTCTGCAGATAATTTTCCCTTCTCATCCTTGTCGGTATCCATGGTCACTTTATCGGTCCGGGAAACCACATGCTTCTTCCACCTCATTCGCTCCTGCAAGAAGCGTCGCAGCGTCTCGCACAATTCCCTGTTCACTGACAGAAAGTTTCCATTGTTTTGCATAGAATCCGTGACTAATGTTGGGTCATAATATAGTCTTCCTCCAGCTCGCCGCGTAGAGATTCTGCGTTTGTGTTATCCTGGACTTGATGGACCACGCTCCGCATATATTTTTTAATATTGGACCTCATTTCTGTGACGTACGCCATGTAATTGGGATCATGACGGTTGGGATTCAAAAAGAGCCACACAATGAGTGCGTTGGTATTGTAAAACCCAACTGACATAAGATGCCGCAGTACTTCCATTTGCCCAGTTATCAGTGCTGCATAAAATATGATTCCCGCATGCTCCCTGCTTTCCAATGCATGCAAGTAGGAGTCTGAAGGTGAAAGTACAAGAGACGCAAGGTCATCAAAACGTCCTTCTGCAATAGCTTGCAACAACACATGCAGGACATCTGGGAGGGCTTGCGTCTGTCGCAGGGGCAAATATGTATCGCAAGCGTTTACAAGCCGTACGGTCGTTGTTACAAGATACTCACGCGGTACCAGTTCCACAAGCTGAGCCATTGCCAAGGGATCAATGGCTGCATTAACATACCATTCCACAAATCTTTCCCCGGCGTTGTTGTCGTCATCAATTTTCAATGCAAGAACACGCGCAGAGAAAGGAAGTAATAGTTCTTTTCGCAATCTTGATTGGACACTGCGGGGCGACAGAGGGGGCACAATGCGCAGTTCCCGTACTTTCTCCAGTAACGGTCGTATCCGCAAGCGCAACTCCAAATTGCTGCCGCCTGCCTCAGTACCAGCGGTAGTGTCGTAAATATCTTCCAATTTCCCTCGCTTCGAGTCACAAATGCCGTACTCCCGGTCTAAGTCAGTGGCACCATTCTCTTCATTCTCGCGTTGGATTGCAATTTCTTCCTCCTCCAGTTCACGCAGGAGTGCATTCAACTTTTCGTGCCGCGCTTCCACAAATGTTCGGTCTTCTCGGTACCTCTGACGCGGCGCGACGCGCCTCAACTCTCGCTGTCGGAGATGATAACTGCCCTCTTTGGGCAGCACCTCTCTTTCTCCGCGCTCAATATCCGTATCCAGAGTCTTGTAATACTCATGGAGTAGCGCCTCGTCACGCCGTAATTCACAGAGTCGGCGGTTCACACGGTCTATTAATTCCCTCAGCGTCGTGCAGGCTCTCACCACCGCAATTCGGTAGAAAAGAATTTCCTCTTGCATGGCCTCCATTTTTCGCCTTGCGTAACCCTTTTTCTGCTGTTTCTTCATTATTTTCATCTTGGAACGCAGCGCAAATTCCTTTATCATGGCGAGTCCGTTCAGAAAATCCTCCTCGGTGCAAGAAAAGACATCCAGCGCCTCCAAAAAAAAGTTTGGGTCATCATTCGTTGTCGTGGGCAGAGTCGTCGTAAATGTCTCCTCTTTCAGGGCGGCAAAGTCCTCGAGCCCCCTTTTATTTGAAATGGACGCGTTGCCCACACGAAAGCGTGGAATCTGAAAGCCTGGTTCCGCTGCCATACAAATCCGGGAGGAAAAGCAGAAAAGTCTGCCGTAACTGCTATTTAGAGTAAAAATGGAAGGCGCCCGTCACAGACACGTATGCCAATTCACGCAGCTGTGCCGCACGCACGTGAATATATGATTGCGACGTGCCGTGTTCCTTTTTTTTTTTGTGTGCGTGTGTGTGTGTGGGAATAAACTCGCACAATTTGATAGCTCTTCTGTCACTCCCTCCAGCACAGCAGCTGCAGGAACCCACCCTCAGAATCATACATGCAAGCACAAAAAAGAAAATATAAACAAAATAAAAAGAAAGGCCGGAGGAAAAGATGCATGCGTGAGAATTGAAAAAAACAACAACATGAGAAGAGTCATTTACATTTCAAAAATACCCACACAGAGGACTGTGGCTTGCCAAGACAAAAACAACTACAAGAGGGAAGAAAGAGGAAACGGGCATACGTCGCATCCGGTCTACATTTTATTTTATTTTCTCTCTTTCTTGTTGTTCTTTTGCCTCGCGTGCCATAAACTCAAAAAAAAAACCCTTTGCTTTTCTCTCTCTCTCTCTCACTCTCGGATTCCACAGGCTCCCCCCTTCACAAAACTATCCATAGCGATAGATGCACACAATGCACAAGCGAGAGAATTGCGCGCCAACACGGAGAGACGTGAAGCAAAACAACAAAAATGCACACAGAAAAAACAAAAAACAAAAACTACACAAGTAGAAAGAAAGAAAAAAAAAAAAAAAAGAAAAAAAGAAAAAAGGAAATTGACAGCCTTTTTTTTTGATTACATGACATGCAGTCTTTCCGCTTCCTTTTTTCTGAATAAACGAGTTAACGCCTTTTCTCCTTTTTTTTTCTTTTTGGCTTTGACCCTTCAGACCAACTCCCCGGCCACGCCCTGTCTTCTTCCTTCCCTCTCGTTCCCTGCTGGTGCCGGGAACGCACTCACCAAAGCGGAGCTTTTCCTTGTGCTAGCGCATTCTAACTTCTCTCTCTCTTTTTTTTTTTTGTCCGTCTGTGCCAGTTGTTTTCTTCTGTTCCCCTCCCGTTCTTTCCTTGAGCCTGTTTGCATACATCCTTTTTCCTCGGTTGCGTCACCCTGCGCCTTCTTCCTTCAATTGTGTGTCTCCTGAGCAGCCTCCTTCATGCACTGCATGAGCCCCAGCGTTTTTTCCTTCCAGCGTGAAACGTGAACGGCAAGTTCCTTCACCTCCTGCAGGCTCAATACACGTGGTTCCACCCATGTGATGTGCACCTCCTGTGTGAGGCCGTCGATCTTCCCCATGATGATACCCTGCGCCAGTGCCGCGAGCAGCAGTGGTTCCACCCGTTCCTCGTCAACCGCACAACGCCGCGCAATCACATCAAAGGTAAACGTGCGCTCGTTAAACGGTGTGTAGAAAACAAGGTGAAGAAGAGCCATCAGTCGCACCTTCTTCGTGATGGAGGGAAAGAATTCGGAAAGGATGGGGCTCGCCGCCATTTCCGCCTTGTGGGCAACGGCGTACTGTTCAAACTCCTCCACCTTGCCATCATTGCAGAGACGCAGCCATTCGAGTATCCACGCGTGTTGCACAGAATCCGCAAGGCGCTCCGTGAAGTGACGTTCGTTCAGAAACTTACCAAAGTTATAAATTTCCTCCGAAAGGAGCGCCGAAAGAGCAGCTTTGTAGGCAAGAGACAAGAGGTCACTCTCAATAATCGGCATCTCGGCACGCTCCGCACTCTTCACGGTTTCAAAAGCGTTCGAGTAGTATTTTGTGTACTGCTGGCGTATCTCGTAGTCCTTTCCACGGGCCTGGCAATGCAGTGCGGCTAAAACGGGCTCCACCTCGTGCATCTGCTTGGAGTGGATGAAGCTCTCTACCTTGTCAAGAATCCGGCTCGCCTCTGAGGCAGCCGTTCCGGCGGGCGAGGACTTGTCGTTGTAACTGTCCAGCAGCAACAGGGCCCGGATGCAATTGGCCATGTTCTCGCCCTGCTCTGAGCTTGTAGAGAGAGCGACGACGGCGCCATTGAGAAGATCAAGTGCCTTTTGGAGAGTGCTATTTGGGCAGAAGCAGATGTAGTGCAGGAGTTTGACGTAGGCCGTAGGCGACATGTCCATGCGCGTCACCTTCAAGACGTTTTCATGCAGTTCATAGGCAGACTCCAGCACCAAAGGATCACGCACGGCCAACAGCAAGTCGTCGGTCATCTCGCACCATAAGGAACGCTCAAATTCCTCCTTGGCCCGCTTTAACACATCCGCCGTTGCCGTGCGACCAGCGGCCTGTAGGGAGTTGCTGAGTTTTTCCAAATACGCCTGGGCCTTGGCCTCCATAGTTTACTTTTGTCTGTTTTTCTCTTTCTTTTCTGTTCTCTTCTTCTGCGTTCTTTCCTTTCCTTCTTTCTCTCTCTCCCTCTGTGTGCGCGTGTGTCTGTTTCCTCCTAGTGTGGCCAGAAATACCGGGCTTGCCGCTGCTTCCAATATTGTTTCTACTTTTTTTTTTCCCTCGCCCCAATACAATGGAGAATTCCTCAACGGAAGCCGCAGAAGAAAAAAAGAAAGAGAAAAAGGAAGAGAGAGAGAGAAAGAAAAAAAAGAAATCACACGTATGACGGGAAAAAAAGAGGCCCACTGCAGACAGACCCACGCGCATGCTTACACGCCGCGTGAAACCCCTTTCCCATTGTAGTTAAGGAACGGGCATTTAATTTTCAAGCAGTAATGTGTTTTCAGTGTGACTTTCCGCCAACTATGAGGAAAGGCTGCATCTCTCACCTGTCTACCATGCGGCACTGAATAGACACACACGCACATAAAACCAAACCAACAGAGTAGTTAACCGCATGAGTGGGGTGAAGGGCAGCGAGGATATGGAAATCCACTCCTTCTCTGCTTCCCCACCAACAGGAACACACCGCTTTAGTTAGGAGAAAATACACACACACACACACTGATATATATATATATATATCCATTTCTTTCCCACACTCTCTTCTATTCATCCAAATGAAAAAAGGAACGTTATGCTAGAGGGAACTACTGAGAGATCACCACTCAGAAACACGTTTCCCCTTTTTCTCTCTGTTTTCTTTTTCTTTTTTTTCTTCTTCTATGGAACACAAAACCTTTACCGGTATTCATGTATATATTTATATGCGCGCATGCAAAAAAACACCCAGGCCAGTAAACCATGTTTAATTTCTTTCTCTTCTTTTTCAGTCCACCTTATCATACGAACGGTCCTTTTATATTCAACAAAACAAAAAACAAAAGAAAAAAAGAAAAAAAAATCCGTCACGGGTGCAACATTTAATGAACACAATGATCCGTTAAGAAGCTCTGAAAGCCCTCAATAAAGAACCACATGAGCACTACTTGCGGCACACATCGTATTGCCTCAACACGCGCACCCGCGTACAAGCCACGGATACCTTCCTGCGCATACACCTGACGCAGACAGTCCCGCACACCCGCGTACACCACCCCACTCTTCCCTTTTCCCGACATGCCAATTCGTCGCTTGGCCACATCAAGTGGAAATGCAACAAGGATGGATGCCAGGGCCGCTGCCCCACCGCCAGCGACGGTGGAAACTATGTTCTTGTATGAGGGGTGTGAACTGAGAAAGTCCTTCTCAATGAGACGGTACTTCATCGTTTCGTACACCGCAAAGCTCACAAGGATATCCGGCACCCGCTGCATGAGGGATGCCCCCAGTCCACGGTAAAAATTTCGCAACGAGTGGGTCTCCGCGTAGATGCATCTTATGGTGTTAAATATGCCGTTAAACTGCCGTTCGCCAGACATGAGGCGGAGTCGCACCACCTCGCCAGGGTAAACTGCAACTCCCGCAATAGTGGCAGAGATACCACCAGCGCCACACTTCATAAGAAACAACTCAAGAGTCTCGCCGCGGTGATGAGCATCCCCAGCGGAACCTTTGCGTGGTCGCACGTACCGCTCACAGATGTCTTGAAAGAAAAACTTCAGCTGACTATACAACACAAACTGGATGCCGGAGTAGGGGACGCGAATGATCATAGAAGTAAGGTTTCCCTTCCAGAACCCCTTCCAACCGTCTTGCTCCCTGATATGTCGGGCAAGCTGAAGGGTGCTGTACTCCTTGTGCTCTCCAAGCTGCTGCATCACAACCACACGCTGAAAGGGCGACAGCAAAGACTTAGCAGCTGCACCACCGAGTCCACCGGCAACGGCATTCACCCACGGCGTGTGCTTCTTCTCACTCGATGTAGACATCAGGATGACACACACACACACACACAAGCGCTTCTTTATTCCTTGCCTGCGTGTTACACTTCGCGTGCGACCTGCCCTAAATGCAATAAACAGCAACCCCTTTCCTTTTTTCACACAGCAGCAAAAAAAAAAACAAATACAAGAATGTAGCAAGTAAACGTACATGACACGTATGGAGTAACAAATGACTGAGGAGGAGGGAGGAGAAAAGGCAATACCCAACGGAGAGCAGGAGTCAACAAAATACACTCAAAAAACGCACTTATAAATATATCTTCGTTTCTGCGGTGACGAGAAACTGAATTACATGAGACTTTAGCTCTTTTTACGCACTGCACCCCCCTCTCCCTCTTCCCCAGTTGCAGTGGAAGAAGAAGAAGAAACCGCAGCATTGCCAACAAGAAAGAAAAACCAGGAGCCCAGGAAAAAAGGAAAAAAACAAAAACAAAAACAAAACAACAACAACAAAGTTTTGTTTTTATATTTCCTCTTTTTCCTCCACCTTTTCTCTCAGTGGACTCCAAAATACTTTTAAAGCTTACTTTTAATCAGGTCTTCAGCCTCTGTGTGTGTATATGATACTACTGACCACCGCCATCAACAGTGGTATCAAACAAAATACATGCATACATCTGTGCATACACATGTACGTGGTTTATACTTATATAATCTCCACCTGAAGCGTACTTCTTCCAATTATTGATGCACATTTCCCTCCATTTCCTCTCTCTCACTCTCGCTTCTCACATCATAATTGGAATACACACTCACAGTGTTTGCTAGTATTTCTCTCTTATTTCCATATTACTCCATAGACACAACAACAAAACAACGAGAAAACAACAAAAAAGTACAAAAAAAAAAAAAATACTAATTCAACAAAATAAAAAAAAAAAAAAAAAAACCAAAAACAAGAGGATATCAGAAACAAAAACACCAGCAAAGACTACACGCATAAGTGTGGCCCCAACTATATCGCGTAAGGCAAATTACAAGAATATTCAATGAATAGAAGCCATCACCAGGGTATTTAGTAGTCCTTTTTCTTCTTATTCCTTAAAGCCCTCATTAGCCAAATGCTATTACATCTATACGTATATACATTTTCCCAACGCAGACTCAATGCAAAGACGTATCCAAAAAAAAAAAAAAAAAAATTCCATTATTCCAACATATTAACGCAAAATCCCGCCTTCTTCTATTGCTTAATATTCCCTTAACCAGAGGGGGGTTGTTCTGCCAGTTTCCCTTGTCCCCTGAGCAGCGTTACCCGCCTCTTCCTTTTCCACCGAACTGCTTTTCTCAGTGAAAGGAATATCTCCAGTTTTGGTGGAACTCAGTTTGGTGAGTGTTGTTGGGGATAAACGTAATTGAGAGTCATCGATGGGAATCTGCGATTCGTCTAACCCATTATATTGTGTTAACCCATTCATCTTTACCGTCGTCCCATCATTCAAGACAAGGCGATTCTTGGCATCATTGGCCACCGCTTCGTAAACGGCTCTCGAAGGTTGATTAGTGTTGGAGGAGGAAATAACTCCAGGGGAAGAAGAGCACCCATTCTTATGCCATTCCGAGTGCTCCAAAAGTGTTTTATCCTGCTTCGCGAGACCAGATGTGGGTTGTTCTGCTCCCGTAACACGTCCCCCTTCCGCGTCTCGAGGTTCTATTGCTCCATTCACCCGGTCACCCCCCTTTTTTGACTGTTGATGTTGTGGCTCGCGCGGACCTTCCTTCTTTGAAAAAGAAATACTGCGGGCGATAACTTCACTATCCATTTGGCGTGGGGAAAGAGAACCAGCGTTGCGCACAAGCATATTGGGAGTCAATTGTGACGCCAGGGAATTTCTCTTTTCACCTGTCAGGGCACATTCCCGCGGCGAGAGTTTCAATACTTCTTCCTTGCCCGTGGACACGGTAGGTTCCGTTTCAGCGAGACGCTGACGCAACAATTTGATCAGTGCTTCTTTCCTTTCCACCTGCTTCACAAGTTTCATAACCAACGCATCCATCTGACTTCGCCCTGGATATTGCACACTGGAGAGGCTTCCAGACGATAAGCGCATGTCCCCATGGCTGCCGTCTTCCTTCGTCCCCAACGGCACCGTAACGATGGCGCTAAGCTTCTCAATCTGTTCTGTATTCCTTCTCACAGCCCTTTGCATTGCGGTGTATTCTTCGGGTTTCATGCATGTTAACCCCGCAGCTCGAACACGGTCCTCCAAATTACGAATTTGATCGGAAAGACGAGCAGAACTTTCGCGTGTCGCTGCCAGCTTCTCCCGCAGAGTATCCAACTTCGATTGGATTGTAAGACGGTTATACATGCCTTCCCGATACTGACTAGCAACCTTTTCCTCGACCGGCTTATGATCCCTGACAACTTGCGTAAGAAAAATGGACAGTCGCCTGTTTTCTGTCCAAAGGTCACGTTGGCGTCGCTTTGCTCGCTGAAGCTCATCAAGTGAATACTTCAACTCCTCTTCAGCAATGCGCAGGGCCAAATCAGGAAATCCAATCCATTGCTCTCTAAGCCCTAACAGACGCTGAAGATGTTGGTTTTCCCGATCCAGCCTATCCACATCCATGTGAGCCCTTCGGTATCCCCTTCTTATGCTGCTCCTTGTAGTTGTTTGCAATGAAATTTCTAATGCCCGCCTAACGCGACGTACATTGGCAACTTCGTATCTGGTCTTTAAAATCGCCTTCTGCAGTTCTTCACGGCTTGCATTGCGGGGTGGGCTTTCTGTATCGGAAGAGAAATCGCTAGAATATGTCTGGTTGTCCTGTACACTGGCACGCTCCTCATTGTTTTTCACACCGGCTTTCCGCTTTTTCCTGCGGCATGCATCGCGGGGCAGACTTTCTGTATCGGAAGAAGACCCGCAAAACGATGACTCGTGGTCTTTCCCTGAAATACGACCGCAACTACTGCCAGAAATTTGTTTTGGACGCTGCCACAACACTTCCTTTGTGTTCAACGTTGACTTTTCATCCCCTCCACCGTGTTGAGCGGACTGAGCAGTTGGGGGCGCTTGCGGGGATCCTACGGCTCCAGAAAAAACTTTGAATTGACTCTCCGCAAAAGCTTTCATCGGAGAAACATTTGTTTTCCTTTTCCAGACATCAGCCTCCTCATAATTTTTTTTGTCCTCGTTGGTGAGAACAGACTCCGACTCCTGATGCCATGGAGGTCTCACATGCTTTTCCTCATTGCTACTTGCGCGTCTCCCCGCCATCGGCGGCAATGTCCTTAAATGCTCCCTCGGTGCTACCGCGGTCGCGCAATGCCTCGCACCTTTTTCCATAGCTAAAGCGGGTGATGACGCACATTTTCTCCCTGATAATGGTGTTGAAGATGACGACAACACATCAGTTCGCGGCTCCGATGTGCGAGCGGGCACCTCATTTCTATTGACATTGTGTTTTAATCTCTCACTATCAGGCTCCATTTGCGTCACTGAGGTCAGCTTCGACAGGTGCAGCAGCTGTTGATTCCCGGTGACCACGGGGGGTTTTACTTTGGCAATTCGCGACGCGGGGGGATGAATCAACTGCGGCGGGCGACGACCACTGGAGGCCTTGACGATAGGGATAGATTTCTTGCCGTTCATGCAATGAGGCTCTGGCAGCAAAGTCTCCTTACCACGCGTAACTTCTCGTGCAGCCGGTGATGCATCCACGGATTTGGGTGTCAACGGTGGGCCTCGCTCGCGGTCTGTAGAGATCTCGTCTTCGTCAAGCTCAAAGTCGTCCTCGTAGACCCCCTGATGTGACATGAGAGAAGCCGTGGTGGGAACTGTGGGGAGAAAACGCCTGAATCCACAAACAACCAACCAATCAAGACGGAGACAACTGTTGTCGCCCTGTCCTTTATGGGCCCTTTTTCGCTCTGCTATTAAAGTTCTCTTGCCCCGCGCAATTCAACAGAGAGCTAGGAAAAAGAAAAAAGAGGCAAATAAGAAAGACACGTTAGTCCCAAAAATACCCGCACTACGCGTCAACAGCAAGACCTTTAAAAATAAACAAACACCGCTCTCACTCTTTTCATCTCCCACAAACTGACAGGAATCCACGTAACCTTTACAATATCCCACCTCTTCCCCATTTTTGATATAGAAAAAGTGGTGTGTGTACGTATGCATGTATACGCAGACGTACCTTAGCGTAGTAGAAGATGTTGCGAGAAGGACGCTGTGGTGAACACGCTTTGTCGCATGGGTCCCAGCACTCTCACCCCACGGACATGGCAATCACGGCCGTTCTGACGGTTTTCCTCAAGAATGATACGAATATGTGTGCACCACACACCATCTCCCATAAATTCAGCGTAGTCATCGTTCTCTACAATAGCATCTTGAGGAAAGAAAGGTGGCAATGAAGATATTCCCTCTGCCGTCTCTCTTGCTCTAGAAGCACCAAGTGCGTGGGTGCCAGCCCCACCTCCTTCGGTTCCACGCATTATTTCAAGTTCCCAGGGCTCTGATGTCTCCACCTCTAAGTTCATACGTATGAATACCCAACCGCGCGGATCATCTACCGTAACGGCGGCAACATCTGCCATGTCACCGCTATGTGTACCGGATTGCACCCGTATCCTTCGCGGGGTGTAGCTTTCGTCCTGCTGGAAGTCAAGGTAGAGAGCCACGACTGAAACCGGCGTCAGCCGGGCGTAATCAATGGATATAACATGAGGGAGAACCCCATCCGATTGCCAAAACGTACTGTGGGAGCCATCCAGCAGACACGTCACTCCATTGCCGTGCTTGGCGGAGCTTACAGTCCATATCGCATCATGCAGTGTGATGAGTGCCCCAAGCTTTTCACGTGTAAGAAGTTCCTCATCGTTAATAATGCTAGGGGACTCACTGTACACGCTATAGGCATTCTGGTCATTATCGCCCTCTTGACCTTCGCGCGGTGGGGGCTCCATCACGCGTGGGTCTCTCCAACGAAACACGCCCCTCTCAAAGAAATGAAACCCCGCCCTTCCCACCCGCGCGCATCCACAGAAAAAAGTAAAACAAACAGAAAAGGGGAATTGACAAACAATACATGTCAAAATCTAAGAAGACAGCGGCCATAAAAAAAGATAAAGCCAGTTATATATACATATATATATAAAGGTGTAAAGATAGAGGGATAAATAGAAAGAAAGAAAGAGAGAAAATGTGTGTAAAAACAAACATGTACAAGATGAAATATCTTTTCTTCTCTAATCTAACGTGAATTGGCACAATAAGTATTTCCCCACACCTCTCCACCCAATAAATAAATAAATAAATAAATAAAGGTTCTCTCAGAACGAGAGCAATGGACGGCGGACTAACGCATCGTCGTGTAAAAAGAGTTCCCACGTTCGCCGACACATCCAGCGCAGTGGCGACCACGGCAGCAGAAAGCAAAAAACATAGAGGATAGACAAAAATCCCAAAGTTTTTCCATCAACACCACTCGGTAGAATGAGGGGTGCACACCAGCGGACAACCGCAGAGTTCCATACCCATGCAAACGGCCCCAGCGCCTGCGAGAGATGCTCAACCATAACCCCTGGCACAAGATGTGTGTTGGGAAGAAGATGACATACGCTGTATTTGTAGATAAGAAAAAGCAGGCACGTCATAAGGATCTCCAAGCCAATGATGAGCGAAAGGAAGGGAGAATGGCCACGCATTAGCATCACCGCTCGGCTCAAAACATTTTGCACAAAGCTCTGTGTCCGCAGTATGCGCGTGGCAAGTGATTGCGTGCGAAAGAACTGTCGCTTCTCTAACATCGTCTCGACTGCCGCCTCGGATTGACGGTAAGCAATGGAAGTAGCGGAGTCCAAAGCCGCAGGCCGTCGATGAAATCCACCAAAAATAATCCGCATAACCGCCTGAAGCAAATTGTACACAATGTACAGTAAAGCAAGCCACATCGCCTGATGTCGCCACATTCCAAAGACTAAGAAACAAAGGCAAAAAGTGCCTTTTCCCATTCTTGATTGAAGTTCAAAGAGGGATGACAGGGGATCCTCTGAAAGAAAACAAAGACGCGTGCCTTCTCTCGAAGCCTTGTAATCCATTGGAACAAGCCAACCCCATTTTATAAGGGCGAGCAAAAGTGAGCGAGATAAGGGGCTTATTCCTGATCCTTCGTTTCTCTTCTTTAATCCTCCGGCAAGATCAAAATACGCAGCTGGGGGTGTGAAAAGGGCCCCACAGAAAACAGGTAAAGGAAACGCCTCGTAACAATTCTGATGGTATTCCCATTGCCACTGAAGCAATTGCTGAAGCTGAGAGACGCTGATATTGAAGCATTCTCCTTGGCGATGAATCTCT